TACATGCACAAACATGCATGTGTTTTTTCCGAGTGCATTTCTAAATGAATAGTTCATGTATAGTTCATAGTTCAATATTATAGTTCATAATATTGCATAGTTCATGATCATGTTTCAGGAAACATATGCATAACTTAAAAGTAAAAATCATATTTTTGATTACACGATAAAACATGAATGTTTGATCATGTCACTTAATGAGGCATGCAACTGTTCCTTAATTACCGTATTTCCTTAAATAAAAGCCTGGGCGTCTATTTCCTAAAATGGTATTTGGACCTCGAAAAAATATATAAAAATAAAAAAACTTATGCCCAGAGCAGTGTTCGAACCCGTGACCTCATGCTTCTGGAACTTCAGGCATTATCCACTAGACTACTGAGTCACTTCTAGGCTAGTGTTGCGTATTTATAGTTAAATTGTATTGCTACCCCGTCATTTATTCGAATGCGGCTTCTATTTAAGGATTTACGGTACATGTATAATTTTTGCCTTTGTTTTACTGAGTTTTACTGATTTGCAGGTCAGGATATGTTGTTTCTCCATTGCCATGTTGTCGTTTGTTGCTGGTATTACAGTACATGGTGTTCAGGTTTAACGAACCAGTTCAACAACTAGTGCAACAGGTTTGACCACTTTTAATTGTACATGTAATTTTACATATACATCTCTCTCTCTCTCTTTCTCCCTCCCTCCCTCTCTCTCTCTCTCTCTCTCTCCCTTTTTTAATAGGTTGATTGTAATCTATTATCTGATTTATTGGTCAGTCCGCTAATCAGTGATCATGCTGATATCATGTCATTCCCGTGTGATCAAGAGTATCAGTATCAGCGAAGTATCAATAAACCACCAGTACCTCTACTCACTCCAGTGGCTGCTGCCACACCTACTGGTACCACACCCACTGTTGATAATAATAAGAAGAAAAAGAATGAAAGTATGTACAACATGTACAATGTACATCATGAAAGTATATACTGTACATGTACAATGTACATAGTGAAAGCATGTACATTAGGTGGCAGGTGCACTAGCTTTTATACATTTACATGTAAGTGATACATGTACATGTCATATACATACGTGTACATGCTGTGAATCAAAATTAATTTTAAAAATTACACGTACATGTACATGTAAGTGCTGTAAATAGTACATGTATTGAATTTGAGCCGGTACACGCTATATTGAAAGAATTATTATTATTTATTATTATTTAGCAGTCCATCCTTTATTCTACAATGTGATACCTCCTGATGGTTCCAGTGACTCCAAGGAAGAGAGAGGGGTTGATCCTGATGCTTGTAAGATACTGTTGAACTCTCCTAAGAAGACAGAGGACGGAAAAGAGGGTGTGAGTGGAGGGTACGACCGATTCCACAAGTCCCTCATATCATTAATGTCCTGTGGATTGGACTATTGGCTTTATAATGAAAACCTCAACTGTAGGGTCACCGTGAGTTATTCTAATTAATGCCCATGTTTATTCTATTTAATGCCCATTAGTCTGCGTGTGCTGGTTACCAGTGCATTGATATATTGCTACAAATGTTAGTGTGTCTCCCTCCACCTTACTCTGTACTGACTGCTATACTCAATGACAGTAATCAACTATTGGACTGTAAGGTTGGTGGCTGATTGTACAACTGTACATGTTTTTTGCACATGCATGTACATTTTGTACATCTATATATACATTTACATGTACATGTAGTACTGTATATACATGTATACTGTATTTCTATCTCTTTTAGACTGAGTCTGGATCCTCATTGCTTATCTTAGTTCTTCTCTTTTCAATGAAGTTAAAGTTTCAACAATCTGACACTGAAGACATCATAGTATGTCAATTAATTTTAATTTTTAATTGATTAATTAAAATAATTTCTCAGGATACTCTCACTGAGTCAGGATATCCCTCAGATAAATCTGAAGAGTTAGTTGGTCGATTGATGTCAGTGGTTGATTCCACTGATCACTTTATAACACTAGCAACCAGTGTACTGGATAAGGTCAGTAATCTTTCAGTAAACTCCATTATATTCTAGTATATTTTTGTATAATAAAATGCATGTACATGTACATATTTATTGTAATAATTGTATTAATGTTATCTCATTCTAGTTGTGTGAAGGTGATTTCTCTGCTACTTCTCTTCCTCTGATATCCATAATGTCACTCAATCTGTTGCTTTGCTTGCTACAAAGAACAATAAAGGAGAGAACTACACTACCAGAACAAGAAGAAGAAGAAGAAGATATAGAGATTGAAGTTGAGGAGGAGGAGGAGGAGGAGGAAGAGGGAGAGGGAGGAGAAGGAGAAGGAGAAGACAAAAAGGAGGACACTGCTCCTAGTCCTGAGGAGACACTCAAAAAATCATTTTATGATTCTCATGCTGAAACTCTCATTCCTGTCCTGCTTAAAGTTTTGAAGCTAATCCTCTCCGTCTCTCATCATGGCATATGTATTGATATATTTAATCCTGATCAGAATCATGCTAAAGACATGATTGATGTTATAAAGAGCATACTCGGTCTCTCGGGAACCAAGCTATTGGTGTTTGGATCAAACGGGAAGCTCCCTCATTCCAAGGACCTGTTTGTGAGACACATTCCGGTACCAATGTCTGAGCGTTTGAAAACATGGAACTCGGCAATGATAATGGAGCGATCCTTGTGTAACAGAGTAGGAGACAAAGTTGATATTATTGAGGAGATGTTTGGGTTCTTGCACTCGTCCCTGAGAGCTATAAGTGGTCGTAGTACCTTCTCACCTAACAATTCTTTAAAATCTAATTTGTTCATAGTATCTGGACTCCTCCATAATTTTTTCTCTCTCTCGCCTGCCGATAGTTCTTCAAAGTTTTCCGAGAGTATTGTTCCTCTTGCTATGGATCTGTTGCTGGAGTTTGCTGTTGAAGGGGATAAGGGTGTGTCTGGGGGTGGAGTCTCTGAGGCTCCTTTGAGGGAGATGGCAAAACTGTTTGATGAGAAATCCTTTGCCTTGAAATGCATGAAGCAAAAAGTAATTATTAATATGTACATGTACATGTACTGTATGCAACTATACCAGTTTATTTTCATGGAAAAGTGTTTATCATTGCAATTTTTTCAGGGTTGCAAAAATAAAAATTGCAAAATTTGCATTTTTAATTTTATGTGGTGTACATGTAGTTTGAAGTTACATGTACTGTACATGTA